TCTGTGTAGTCTTTAGTTAGTTCAGTATAGTCTCAAGTAGCTCTGTTTAGTCTTTAGTTAGTTCAGTATAGTCTCATGTAGTTCTGTGTAGTCTTTAGTTAGTTCAGTATAGTCTCATGTAGCTCTGTGTAGTCTTTAGTTAGTTCAGTATAGTCTCATGTGACTCTGTGTAGTCTTTCGTTAGCTCTGTGTAGTTGTTAGTTAGCTCTGTGTAGTTGTTAGTTAGTTCTGTGTAGTCTTTAATTAGCTCTGTATAGTCTCAAGTAGCTCTGTGTAGTCTCATGTAGCTCTGTGTAGTCTTTAGTTAGTTCAGTATAGTCTCATGTAGCTCTGTGTAGTCTTTAGTTAGTTCAGTATAGTCTCATGTAGCTCTGTGTAGTCTTTAGTTAGTTCAGTATAGTCTCATGTGACTCTGTGTAGTCTTTAGTTAGCTCTGTGTAGTTGTTAGTTAGCTCTGTGTAGTCTTTAGTTAGTTCAGTATAGTCTCATGTGGCTCTGTGTAGTTGTTAGAAAAAAAAACAATGCAGTAACTATGTTGAGTTAGTTTCTCCAGTTTATTACCTGTTTATTTGATTGTAAACTCCATCCCTGCTAAACCAAACCGGAAATGCATTATCGAGCTCTGTCAGACGGGTCCATTTGCCCACACATGCTGCACTACTTAAAAAAGTCACTTGCCATAAGTCCGTATGAAAACGGTGGGCTTAACTTTTTGGATTTTTATACATTGTATAACACTTTTAAGATAAAATGGCTTAAGCAGTGCTGCAGAAATCCTTTCTCCATCTGGAACACTATACCCCTTCATATTTTATCTAAACTGGGTGGCTTAAATTTTTTCCTTGTTTGTAACTATGATATCAACAAAATACCTGTGAAATGTCAGCTTTTCATCATCAGGCTTTCTTGTCTTGGTCTCTTATTTACAAACACAACTTTTCACCTCATAACTATTCTATATGGAATAACAAGGACATTTTATTTAAACACAAGTCCCTCTTTATAGAACACTGGTTTCAAAATGATATTATATTTGTGAATCAGTTATTTAATAGGTTTGGTCTTCTTTTTACTTATGAAGAATTCTTATCACAATACAATATCCCTGTTACACCAGGTGAATTTAGCAAAGTTTTTGGGGCAATACCCTCTGGAGTTCAAATGTTATTTAAGTCTCAGCTAAGGGGTAGTCACCTGCAATTGCCCTTCTTATCTCCACTTGAGACTTCAATAGGTAAAATATGCTTTTCTAATATTTCTAGTAACAGCAATAAGTCTATAAGAGCGTTATTTCATAAGGATTTAATTACCTTACCATCTGTTATGTCATACTGGGATCAACTTGAAAGTAATCTAGATTGGAAGAAAGTCTGGCTTTTACCTAATAAGTACTTAATAACAAATAAAGTTAAAGACATCTCCTTTAAACTTATTCACAAATTCTACCCAACTAAAATGTATATAAAAGAAAAATTCAAGAAGGATATTGATATACAGTGTTCTTTTTGCTCTGAAAGACCTGAAACTACTGTACATTTATTTTGGCATTGCCCATTTGTAAAGATATTCTGGCAAGATTTGTGTAATTTTATTTTTGATAATATTAATGAAAATTTTGTTTTATTATGGAGGTATGTATTGTTTGGTCTTCCAGAAGATAACCTAAATAAGAAAAACAGAACTGAATGTAAAGATTTTATGTATTTGATTAATTTAATTATTATAATGGCAAAATGTCATACACATAAATGTAAATTTACAGGCAAGAAACCATGTTTCGTTATCTTTAGCAAAGAATTTAAACAATACATACACTCAATTCAGCATTCTTCAAAACAAAAAGCAATGAAAATAGTAAATGTATGTACTACTTTACATATTTTTGTACAGTAATGATTTGTATTCCCCCTAGCATTTCTGTTTTTGTTATTCTTGTACGCTTTTGTATTTACACTTTGTACTTTTAATATTATTTAATAAATTTATTACCAAAAAAAAAAAAAAAAAAATTGCCCACACATGCAGCTAGTGCTAACAGCTGAGCTTAAAGTTAGGTGGTCAGGGTGGAAAGTCTGTCCCAAACCACAGGGTTAGCGTAAAGCTAGTGCTGTGTAGAGCTTTATTTCCCTACAAACACGTAAACATTATAATAGTCAACAAATGACCATTAAAAGTGACTGGTTTCGAGTTCAGTAACACGACCCGACAACAGCATTAAACACACATCTACAATGAAGCTGCTCTGTTTGCTACTGAGGGAACTGCAGGCTATCTTCTTAGTTTATTACAGCATGCCACAATTTAATTTATGTGGTGTTTCCTGACTTGCTGAACGCCGTTCCTTATTGGCAGATTTTTTAGCCAATCACTGAATGAGATTTTCATGACGTGTCCTAGCATGTGTGGGTCATCTCCGAAATAGACCAATCAGATTCGCCCGACAGGTAGCAAGTTTGTTTTAGCGGCTTCGTGAACATGAGCACAGCTAGCGATTTAGCCGGCTAGATAATTATCAGAAGTATATACATAAGTCAGAAAAATAAGCTATAATAAGATAAAATAAGTTTTGAAAATGCCTCCCCGGGCCGTTTCTCGGCCTGCTGAGGCGAAGCTGTTGCTTGTGCTTGTGGTTGTAAGTGTGCTGAGTGCAGAAAGAGTCTCAGGCTTTCCAGAGGAGAACAAACTACCTGAAGTGCAGCAGCCTGCTGAGGTAACATACACCGTTTAACACCAAATACACGGCGGAAAATTTGCTCAGTTTGGTTTCCTGGCTAGTTCAGGATTCACTATAGACAGTAAACTTGGTGGTAGCGACGAGGTTAAGCTGTATTTCCTTTATTTGAAATAAATTAGCTAGCTAGCTGTCTGCCTACAGGCCGAGCTTCTCTTATTTTATCTGTTGGCAGTCAGTTATTCCTTTCAGTGTTAAAAGAGACGCATCAATGGACCACCTTTAATGGCATTACATATTAACTTTATGAACTTTATCCAACTCTTAGCACATGATGCACAATTAGGCAGATTATATTTATTTACTGGAGCCATAAAAGGTTTCTTTTGTACCTGAATCCAACACCCACAGAACCCAAAAACACCACACTGTTCATTCAGAACAGCTTGTGCTAACACTACTTCCTTGTTTGGATTAAAAAGTGCAAGATTGAAATGTTTTACTTATGTAAATCATTGAGATTTGAATGAAACCCATTTTCAAGTGACCAGTCAGACTTAAGAAATACTACTAATGTTACTATTATTATTATTACTATTATTATTATTATTATTATTATTATTAACAACTTTGATTGTAGTTGTAGATCAGGAGCTCCATTACTCTAACATCCCACTGGTTGTGATTCCTGGAACTCACTTTTTGGGGAAAAAGTTGTCACACAGCAGTAAAACACGTGGACATGGCATGTCTAAAAGGACATACATGATACACACACTTTACTGTCTATCTCTGCTGCGTGTACTATGCATAATTTTGCGTGTATGTCTGTAATTTACTCTCTCTTCCCATAATAGAGGTCTGCTAATATTCCTGCAAGCCACGTTTACTGTTACTTCTTTGTCATATGCGCTGATTTACAATGAAATAGCGATAACTATTTTGTCTGTTTTTACAGAAAGCTCCGACCGGCCAAACTGCAGCTCCAGCCGTCAGTCCAGACGAGCCTAGTAAAGGCAACCTGGGATTTATCCATGCGTTTGTGGCAGCAATTTCGGTCATCATCGTCTCCGAGCTGGGAGATAAGACTTTCTTCATCGCAGCCATCATGGCCATGCGCTATAACCGTCTCACAGTCTTGGCAGGGGCCATGCTGGCTCTGGGTCTCATGACCTGCCTGTCAGGTAGCCTAACGTCAAGGATTTCTTTGTTCTTATGTGAATAGTGACTTTGAGGTCGAGCAGTAGGCATGAGTAATGCAAACACTGCTATCTCTTCAGACTCTTTTCACCAAAATCTGACTGAGCTCAACTAAAAACTAAAGTACACTGTCTAGACAGAACTCGTTGCTATTGTCCTGTAAACATATTCCAGCACAAACATTCCTGATTTGTTGGAAATGAAATTGGTGAAACTATTTATGAGTAAGAAAATGTAGAAGTTGGCCGAGGTTGTGATAAAAAGGCAGTGACATTTTACTTTTTCGTGAATCTGATCCATGTCACTCACAAGGACATAAAAAAAAACCACATTTGATTTCTTCAATCAATCCTAAACTAGATTACGTATACTGCAGAACATGGGCATTTTATTTTTAGCTCCAAAAAAAAAAAATCCTCAAACAGCACATTTACTTACCGTTTAGCTCATAATGCA